TTTTTTTTTTTTTTTTATTATATATAATTAAATATATATATTTTTATAATTATTATATTGTATATATACTATTATAAAAATATTTTTGAGAGTTATGTGTTTGCATAAATTATTGTATATTTTTATAAATAAGTAAGTGATATATACTATACACACACACAGCGGGTAAAATAAGTATTGAACACATCACCATTTTTCTCAGTAAATATATTTCTAAAGGTGCTGTTGACATGAAATTTTCACCAGATGTCAGTAACAACCCAACTAATCCATACATACAACTAAAACAAAACAAATAAGTTCAGAAATTAAGTTCTGTGCAATAAAATGGAATGACACAGGGGAAAAGTATTGAACACGCTTACTGAAATTCATTTAATACTTCGTACAAAAGCCTTTGTTGGTGATGACAGCTTCAAGACGCCTCCTGTCTGGAGAAACTACAGCCGTGGCCAAAAGTTTGCTGCTACAGTGTTTTTAGATCTTTTCGTCAGATGTTACTACGGTATACTGAAGTATAATTACAAGAATTTCATAAGTGTCAAAGGCTTTAATTGACAATTACAATGAGTTTATGCAAAGACTCAGTATTTGCGGTGTTGACCCTTCTTTTCCAAGACCTCTGCAATTCGCCCTGGCATGCTGTCTATCAACTTCTAGGCCACGTCCTGACTGATGGCAGCCCATTCTTGTATAATCAATGCTTGGAGTTTGTCAGAATTTGTGGGTTTTTGTTTGTCCACCCGCCTCTTGAGGATTGACCACAAGATCTCAATGGGATTAAGGTCTGGGGAGTTTCCTGGCCATGGACCCAACATTTCGATATTCCCCGAGCCACTTGGTTATCACTCTTGCCTTATGGCAAGGTGCTCCATCATGCTGGAAAAGGCATTGTTCATTACCAATCTGTTCTTGGACGGTTGGGAGAAGTTGCTCTCGGATGATGCTTTTGTACTATTCTTTATTCATGGCTGAGTTCACTCTCTTGGCTGAGAAGCAACCCCACACATGAATGCTCTCAGGATGCTTTACTGTTGGCATGACACAGGACTGATGGTAGCGCTCACCTTTTCTTCTCCAGACAAGCCCCAAACGATCAGAAAGGGGATCCATCAGAGAAAATGACTTTACCCCAGTCCTCAGCAGTCCAATCAGTGTACCTTTTGGAGAATATCAGTCTGTCCCCGATGTTTTTCCTGGAGAGAAGTGGGTTCTCTGCTGCCCTTCTTGACACCAGGCCATCCTCCAAAAGTCTTGGGCTCACTGTGCATGCAGATGCTCTCGCACCAACCTGCTGCCATTCCTGAGCAAGCTCTGCACGGCTGGTGACACGATCCCGCAGCTGAATCAACATTAGGAGACGGTCCTGGCGCTCGCTGGACTTACTTGGACACCCTGAAGCCTTCTTCACAGCAATCGAACAAGTTCTTGATGATCCGGTAAATGATTGATTTAGCTGCAATCTTACTAGCAGCAATGATAACTGCACACGTTTCCTTGCAGGTAACCGTAGTTAAGAGAGGAAGAACAATGATTTCAAGCACCACCCTCCTTTTAAAGCTTCCAGTCTGTTATTCTAACTCAGGCAGCATGACAGAGTGATCTCTAGCCTTGTCCTCGTCAACACTCTCACCTGTGTTAACGAGAGTATCACTGACCAGCTGACGTCCTTTTGTGGCAGGGCTGAAATGCAGTGGAGATGTTTTGGGGATTAAGTTCATTTTCATGGCGAAGAGTGCAATTGATTGCAATTCATCTGATCACTCTTCATAACATTCTGGAGTACATGCAAATTCCCATCATAAAAAACTGAGGCAGCAGACTTCGTGAAAATTAATATTTGTGTCGTTCTCAAAACTTTTGGTCACGGCTGTAGTTGCATGCATTGCTCAGGATCAGCATCAAACAGTCTTCAAATCTGGAAGGTTCTGTGGGCCTCTTTTATGAACTCTAATCTTTAGTTCTTATTTTCTATTGGATTCAAGTCATTCTAGCATTCTAGCAGTCTTTCTCTGAAACCAATCGAGTTTCCTTGGCTGTGTTTGGGATCATTGTCTCGCTGAAATGTCCTCCCTTGTTTTATCTTCATCATCCTGGTACTGTAGGTGTTGGCACTGAAGCAGCTAATATTAATCTCCACTGACGAGGGGCAGGATTGCCTTCTAATTACTGGTAGATTTCTGCTGGTGTCTTGGCTTTCCATGCCTTTTTGCACCTCCCTTTCTTCATGTGTTCAATACTTTTTCTCTGTGTCATTCTATTTTATTACACATAATTTAATTTCTGAACTTATTTGTTTTGTTTTAGTTGTATGTATGGATTAGTTGGGTTGTTACTGACATCTGGTGAAAATTTCAAGTCAACAGCACCTTCAGAAATATATTTACTGAGAAAAATGGTGACGTGTTCAATACTTATTTTACCCGCTGATATATACACACACACACACACACTACCGGTCAAAAGTTTGGGATCAGAACGATTTTTAATGTTTTTTACAGGAG